TTAACATTATAAATATAATATTGTAAAAGAAAAAAAGACACATCGGTAATATAACCCCTCAGAACAGGAACACAAAACGGATTCTATCTGTTTTCCTATACGCGCGTTTTATTTGTATTTTTTCTGTACTAATTTTATAGTATTTAAAACATAATATTAAGTTTAAATCAAATTTTATAAAAAAAATTATTTTTATATTTATTTTTTATTTATAAAATTTAAATTGAAAATATTATTTAAAATAAACAAATTCTTTCCGCTCCAATCATAAAAACAAATCATTAGCTAAGCGTTTTATTTGTATTAGCAGTACTGTATTACACTGAAACGGAAAATCACAGAATTCGTAAACCTCCGAAACAAAAAAAAAAAAAATACAAATTCAAAGACCAATTTTCCAATTCCCTTAAATAATACTCCACTCCACAGTCCCATAGGCCATTTCCCAACTTTACTTTGTTTTCTCTTGAAGCAGATCCCCCCAAAGTTTTTGCAAGTTTCAGATTCCTTCTCTGAATTCCACTCAAAACTATCCTCAAATCCCTTCTTCTTCCTTCTCCAGGACGCCGGTTTCAGTCTTCCCGTTGCTTGGAGGAAACATGAAACCGACGCGGCCGTGCTCCGGTGAGACTCTCTGCCAGGTTACTTCTAAGCTAATGCTACTACTACTACTATTCTCTTCATCAATGCGTTGTTTAAACGCGTTTCGAACTCGCTTTGTTTTTCATTTTCTGATCTGAGGAATTCGATTTTGTTGAGTGTTTTCTCTTTTCTTTTCTTTTCTTTTTTTTCTTGATTTCGTCCTGTGTTTTCTGTTTCGTTCTAGAGAAAAATGGAGGAAAAGAGACTTAAAGAGGAGAAAGAAAGAGGAAATAGAAAGTGAAGATGCTAAAACAGCTTGCTCAAAAGTTCTATGTTTCTATTTTTTGATTTCCTTTCGAATCTTTTTTTATTTTTTACTTTTTTGCTTTTCCTGTGTTTTCTCGCCAACCAAACAGATCTTAAGTCCGATTATAATTTCTTTTGCGATTCTTCTCGTTTAATCTATGTATTAGCCAAAACTTATGTGTTAGATGTACAGTAAGTTTCTGATTAATGTTAATCAGATCGAGTTATATTAGCTGAAGAAGTTTTAAGTTTAAATTGTGATTGACTCTTCCTTTCCGTTTTCCGTATTACGAATTTAGTTTACTTTCCAATTTTCAGTTTTAATCAAAATTTCTTGATTATAAAATTAATTGAATGACAAAACTGCGTTCTGATTTATTTAGTTGAATAATGATGCCAAAGTTATGTGGAACTGGTTTTACTAGAGGACTTTTAAAATGGAAGTCTAAAGTTTTGGGTTGATTCGCATATTTGTCTTTCTAGAATCTCCATTTTGATTGTCTTTTCATTTGTACGAATTTTCCTGTGAACTTCCTAAAAATTAACATTTTATTGTGCGTTTAGACATTTGAATGCTATCCGCGTAATTTGACCCGTATAAATTATTTTGCAGTAGCTTTTGGGTTATCAAATTCATAAAGTTTGACCCAGGGATTTTCATTTTGTTGCAGATATTTTGATTGACTGCAGGCTTTAGTAGCTAAATAGTAAGGTGTCGAGATGAGAGGGGAATCCTCTGGGTTGATCATTGGGATTTCCATAGGAGTGGTGATTGGAGTTCTTTTGGCTATTGTTGCATTGTTATGTATTAGGTATCACAGGAAGAGGTCTCAGATAGGGAATAGCAGTTCTAGAAGGGCTGCAGCTCTTCCTATTCGTACAAATGGTGTTGATGCCTCTACTATATTATCAGACTCAACAATTGGACCGGACTCACCCGTGAAAGCTGGGCAAAATGGCATGACTGTGTGGCTTGATGGTTTTAAGAGGAGTAATGTGGTCTCTGTGTCTGGATTACCAGAGTACTCATACAAGTAAGCTTTCTTTAGAACTAGATGCCATAGCATAATGAGAATTTGAATATTTATTTCTGCTACTAAACTGGTTGTTCAATTACCATTATGATTTATAAATGATTTAATTGTCATAGGAATATATCCTTATATGGAAAGGTCCCCATTGAATAGAATTTATTCTGACTATGGCTTATAATTGTGTCCCTGAGCTTAAAAATTGAAATAGTTTGATCTGCAATCAAGCCAAATGGTTATGATTAAAATTGGATCAGGCAAACTAAAGGAGAAATTCTGGTGATAATTATCAGGATGATAGCTTGAATCTATCGATAGCTCTGTGGCTTGGTTGTGTGAATTGTGTTTGGAGTTTTTTCACCTTTTTGTTTGTTTATTCTGATATGGTGATAGTCCTACAGGGATTTGCAAAAGGCAACAGGTAATTTTACAACACTGATAGGACAAGGAGCATTTGGTCCTGTTTATAAAGCTCAGATGTCAACTGGTGAGGTTGTTGCTGTTAAAGTGCTTGCAACTGATTCTAGGCAGGGGGAGAAGGAGTTCCAAACTGAGGTATTGATGGTCAATAGTTTATATTTTGCTTCTGTTGGCATTTTTCTGCAAATATTCAATCAAAACTTGCCTTAGTGTCTTAAACAGTAACATTTCCAGTTTATGTAAGAGACTTCACTATCTGTGCGAGGGTGCAAATCCAACAATCTTAGCCTTTCACCTTCTTTAAATTAATTGCAGGTTATGTTGCTGGGAAGGTTGCATCATAGAAACCTTGTGAATTTGGTTGGATATTGTGCAGAAAAGGGCCAGCACATGCTTGTGTATGTGTATATGAGTAAAGGCAGTTTGGCCTCTCATTTGTACAGTAAGCTAGCAACCAACTCTCTGGATAGAGATATTGGTAGCAATATTGAAAGCAGAAACTAAATACTCTTTTCCATTATTATTGTTTTTGGTGATTTCAAGTTTTGGTTAGGTGAAGCGTTGACTGGTCATAACCATTACTTAGATATTAGGTGAAGCATTATTCGCATATCTAGTTCTATTATAATTTAGTATTTCTTTTTAGTTTATGTTTATCAATTTGGCCACTAGTTCTTAATGCTAGCCATAAAACAAACGGGAATGAAAGCAAATCATTCATTTTTAAGAGGGAAACCAGACTTGCACTTAGAAATTTCAATGGACATGGACTGGTTTCTTCTTTTTGTAGGTGAAAAGCATGAACTGCTGAGCTGGGATTTGAGAGTCTATATTGCTTTAGATGTAGCAAGGGCCTTGGAATATCTTCATGATGGGGTAAGATTTTGATCTCATTTGGCTAGATTGACACTTCAAAGTTCTACCTTAGTATGTTTTGCATTCTTCTGTTTTATGTTGATGATGGGTGTTTATAGATCTCTTTGTACTTGTTTTTCAGGCAGTCCCTCCTGTAATACATCGGGACATTAAATCCTCAAACATTCTTTTGGATCAATCCATGAGAGCTAGGGTACGTCCTATCCTTCTTTTTATTTAACCACAGCTACATGAGATATGTAAATTGAGTATTTCATCTCAATTATCTTGTCCATAGCTGTGTCTTTTAATCTTTTCACTTGATTTTTCCTCTTATGTAAGAGTAGAAGTTTATTTGCTAATCATTTGCTCTTTCACTGCTGTGCTTTAAGCAGGTGGCAGATTTTGGACTTTCAAGAGAAGAGATGGTGGACAAACATGCAGCAAATATACGTGGAACTTTTGGATACCTTGACCCAGAATACATCTCTACAAGGACGTTCACTAAGAAAAGTGATGTTTACAGCTTCGGTGTGTTGCTCTTTGAACTTATAGCTGGCAGAAATCCTATGCAGGGTCTTATGGAATATGTTGAGCTGGTATGGTCTCTCTTTACATCTGTCAAAGTCAAAGTTACATTTGCATTGTTTCTAAAGTTGACAAATTTTTGTGATGTGATGAATAGGCTGCAATGAACACCGAAGGGAAAGTCGGGTGGGAGGAAATTGTTGATTCCTGTTTAGATGGGAAATTTGATGTACAAGAACTCAACGAAGTGGCAGCCCTTGCATACAAATGTGTCAGCCGTGCTCCAAGAAAACGGCCTTCCATGAGGGACATAGTGCAAGTGCTTACGCGGATCCTCAAAATGAGGCATGCCAAAAAGCATCAGAAGACCCCATCTGCGACAGCAGATGAGGTTTCAATCGATATGGACCATCCGGAAGCCAAGGCTCCCAGCATTGTGCACTGGAGAGATGAGTCAATGGACAGCACAGCTGACACTGATCTTTAATCAATGGTTTTTCCATTTGTTCATTTGTTAAATACATTGGTTTTGGTTGTAGTTCTACATACATGCAGCTCTGAAGGAGTTAGGAGGGCAAGCTGATTTGCTTTAGTTTGTGAGTTCTCTCGTGTGAGTGAGAGCTAATGATTGTTGTTTCTTTTCTTTTCCCTTCTCTTCCTGTAACATAATTAGGTCTTTTATTTAGGTTTTTTTTTTTTATATTCCCTTGGCTTTGATTTTCCTTTTATTTTTTTTAAATGACACCATCCTGATTTTGTATGTCAATACTTTTCACAAATGAACATGATACAAGGATTTGGAGATTTGTATAGACACGATTTTTTCAAATTTATCTAGTCAAGAATATGACTTATTTTTTTAAGTAATTAAGGTTACCACCTTTCCACCATAAAGTTTGGCCGACTTTTCGAAAAATGAAATTTTGAAGGGTTGATTTGCTTTAACCTTTTTATTGAGTCAATTAGGCATGGTGGTTTAAAGGTAACAGGCAGTAGTTATTTAGTAAAATTATTTATTTTGAAATCATTGTAAAATAAGTGTTTGATAAAATTTTTTTACTTAACTGTTTGGGATTAGTAGATAGTAATTAGATATCAAACCACTTAAAAAGTACATAATAAATAAAATTTGCTGGTTAAACGGAAAGATTAATTTTTTATTTATTTTATTTAAAATTAATATAATTTTTT